CAGGAAGTCGACTGGTGACCCCTGGCCACACAAAAGTAGTTGAGTAACTTGTTCTTGGAACTTTTTAAAGAACATAGGTTGGCTTTGAGATGAACTTGTTTTTCGGACGAAGAAACTTCGGGGATCGCAGCAGGTTAGTGCGGGAGACATTGAATGGCTTAAAATAACGACGCGTGACTCAAATACTGGTGGGTGATTCTCAGTTGGACTATCTTAGTTCGACTGCTCACTCTTAGAGCATTTTAACGCGGACTTTCCGGAATGGGCATCTCAAATGAACAGAAACCCACTTAGAAGCAAATCTATATGTAGCTTCGCTTTTAAAGTGCTGTAATTGTTTCAGCGGACAGGCATTTCGTCTTGGCGGGACCTGCAGTAGTAGGCTGAAATTGAAATAGCCTGTATTTTTTGAAGTTAATCTATTTTGGTGGGTACTACACGGTACTAATAAACTGAGATGCAGTGCGTTTTTTCCTAAAGTACGTTATTCAGTCCAAATGTATTCTTGAGTTTACCTCGAAAGTAAAAGTGTCAACCTCCTCCTGGATACCACTGAGCGGCAAGTCACCTTTGTCGTGCATGTCTAACATAAGATCAAGAAAAGCCATCCTACGTTTTCCTTTAAAGAAAAGTTGTTTCCCAGTAAATTCAGTTATATTTAGTAGCGGTTAATTTGGCGTGACTTTTGGATGCTTTTTTTAAATGCAAATGAATTAATTCTTACCGGATGCCTGTTCCTGCGCAACCAATTTCTGAACGCCACCAGCCTCTTCAGCCAGTTTTTTTCTTGCCATTATTGCCTGGAATGCCGTTTTTTAGTAGTATGTATTTTATTTACAGGAAAGGTTGTTTTATTAGAAGTTCAGGCAGATATTGAGGAGTTTTGGGAGCTTCAGCGAGTAATTAGCGGATTTTACAAACGTATTGTAGCTGAAGCAAAAAGATGTCGCTTTCAAAACACCTCTTAACCATAGGGAAAAAAGAGAACCTTCCTTTTATTTGAAGAAAGTTTATCACTTTAATCCAGTAACGTCAGTATGGTTCCGGTTTTCTATGGTTTGAGAAACTGGATTTTTTGGGAAGTTTCTGATCAAATCCCACCAATAAGTCGAACGTAGCAAAAATTTTTTGAAAGTTGTTCAGAAAGCTTGTATTATTTGAAGTGTTTAACTTTAATTTTTAAAAATATCTGACTCTAAGGAATTTGTGTATTCTAAAAAAATATTTTTTATTCGAAATAAAAGAAAAATCTTTGAAAGCAAAAAAAAGTTTAAAGCAAGACAAAAACAGGTTCAAAAGTTATTGCCTTATGATTGGTGAAATATATTTGGGACTATGCATAACTACATGTGGAGAGCAAACTGTTTAAAAGTTTTGCATGAACAAATTGTTTGTGGTGTTATAAGGCAAGTGTAAGTGGCAGAAAAAGAAAGCGTTAATTTAAGAACATGTGTTCTTGAAGAAGGCTCTACTGCCCTCTTTCTCTCATGACAGGCGCTTTAGAGGCGTTAGGTGGGACAGGAGGAAGCTGGAAGCTTTGAAACACTATAGAGCCAGTAAATATTTTTGCTGCTCCTTGAACGAGTTGAGGTCTTGAACTGGATTGTGAAGATGCTTCATTTAATGCAACTATTGCAGTTCTAGGGCTACCCTGTTTTTTCAATAAAGTTTTAGCAGTAGAAATTTCTCATACGCGTAGTTTTCGCTATTTCTTAACTTGATAAAGTTAACAGCAAGTATTGAAAATTCAGAAGTTTGGAGAAATGTTGGTTTAGAGTCTAAACTTGACGCAGCTATCGTTTTCACTGAAAGATAGTTCATAACGGAACCAGTTGGCGATTCCACGTAAAACATTAATTTTTTTATCTGAGCCTCAGGTTTCTTTCGGGTTTTTTTGTTTGGTAGGGTCTGTCCCTGAATTTAGGAATCTGGAAAGAAGATTTGGGAAGCTTAATTGTTATTTTCGACCTCTTACTCTCTCTATTCGAGGAGGTTTCACTTTTTTAGAAGTGTTTTTTCAACTAAAATGATTCTTTGAAATTTTAATCAATATTTCTTCACTCTTGTGTTTTTGTATAGTTTTCGCGAGGAATTGTACAAGAATTAAAAGAGCATTGGACCTCAAAAAAACCTAAAATTACCAGGCTTCTTGCAGAAATAGTCAATATGCGTACTATCAAATTGAGGGTAATCACTTGAGGACCTGAGAAATTTTCGCTTTTGTAGTGGTATAATTTAGCAAAAAACTGACTTTCCGGGTTTTATGAAGTTGGAAAAAATTTGGGGCATCAAGTGAAAAAAGTTTGTGATATGACGTGGGATTGTCCAGAAACGTTTTTACTTGGAGTTGCAAAGCGCAGTTTTCCTTGTCACGGTTGCCTGCTCCACGGTCAAGTCATTTGTGAAGAGTATTTTAGCAGACCAAAGCTGCATAGCTGTTTTCAGTTTTAAATGACAGGCACAAAAAATTAAAAATTGGAGCTCTAGACAAGAACCTCAAATTCAAGGCTGTCATTCAAAAGTAGGCTGTAATGTCGTCAATACGTTATATAATTTAGATAGTCTTTTTCAACGCAGAGTTCAAAATTGATTGCTCTGCTCGCATTACTGGTTTGATTTCGTTTGTTTTTTTTTTTTTTTTTGAAAAAAGAAGGAAGATTGGAGTGGACAGATTAAGTTTCACGCATATGCTGGATTTCCTAATGGCATCTCTTTGAAGATAATGGAATAGAATGGAGTTGTGAAGCTTGTCTTTTGATACGGCGGTCTTGGTAGAAAGGTTAGTAACTGCGATCCCTTTTGTTCTTGTATTTTATTAAGGAGGCCGCAGGGTCTTATAAACTTCATATTTTTGCAAACTGAAGGTAATCCAGGCCATTTCTTTTTCTGATGAAGTTAATGCACGAGAAGCGCTACCCTAGTGCCTTTAGCGGAACAAACTTAAAATATGAAGCTTTTACCCTTTAGTAAACTGTCAGTTTGTTGTCTGGTGAAGAAATTAAGTAAAGTAAAAACTTAATTTTAGGTTTATGTTCTTGAAATTCTCTCGTGCTGAAATTTCAAGTGAAGACTAAAGGAGGGTGCTAACTTAACAGAAAATGAATTTTGCTTAGGTAAATTAAAAGGTTTTTTTT